CTTTTTTCTAATTTTAACTCACCATTATTGCAATATATATTTGTTAAATATAAGTAAATTATTATTTTTCTAAAATTTCCACTTACTACTAACTTCCTTCCATATTGTACTAATCTCTGTTGAGGATATGAAGGGGTGAATATGGCGTAATGCCGAAGCTTACAAATTGCAAATCATATTGTTTATATTAGACGATAAAAATTAATATTAAAAATGAAAATACTATTATATCAAAACTAATATAAAGAAAAAACATTAAATTTGCAGAGAGAATAGAGCTCCCCATAAACAAATGTCTCTAAATGATTACTTTGTGGGTTCTATTGTTATGTTATGTTAGAAAAAATAAGCCTATATTTATAGAGTCCTAAATCGGTTCCACCCTTATTGCAATGTATATTAAAGTAATGCAAATGAATATTTTTCCAAAAACTCCACTTCCTATAGAGTTTTTCCATTTAATCACTGTTCCATATTATAGTAATATCCAAAAAAATTATTCCAATGTCCTATAAATACAACTATTTCCTCTCATTTTTTCTTCACTCAAATTTTAATTTTATTCAAACAACTATTTCCAAAACCTTTAGGGTGTGTTTGGTACGAAGGAAAACGTCTTTCATGGAAAATGTTTTTCTCGAAAATAAGTAGATTTTGGACTTATTTTCTTATGTTTGGTTGATGATAGAAAATAATTTCCGGAAATGATTTTTAGTGTTTGATTTATGAATGAAAATGTTTTTGAGAACATCTTTTATTTTTACTAGATTAAAAAATAATTTATGAAATTAATTTTTTTTAAATCAAAATTATTATTTTTTGGGGGTGGGGTATGGGGTAGTGGGTTAATTTTTTGGGGAGGGGTTGGGGTTCGGGTGGGTGGGTGGAGGGGTTAGGGATCGGGTTAAAAAATAAAATTTTGGAATTGATTTTTTTTTTAAAAAAAAATCGATATTTTTCCCAAAAAAATGTAATTTGAAATTGGAGGAGAGTTTTGAAAAATGTTTTTCCTTAATTTTTGAAGAGAAGTTATTTTTCTTAAATTTGAGAAAAATGAGTTGATTTGGAAAATATTTTCCATAACTTTTGTCCCAACCAAATATGAGAAAATTGGAAAATATTTTCCAGAAATTTTTTTCCTTCGTACCAAACACACTCTTAATTGTTTCCCTTGTGTATGCGGAGTGTGATGCTGAGAGGTACAATTATGGAATGATGTTTATTGTATTAGCAATTATATTCATAATTCACCCTGGTTGAAAGAGGAATTTAAATGTTATCTTGAGTGAAGAGGAGAAGATTAGTGGTCTGCGTTTATATCCTAATAAGTATGAGGATTTTGCATTTTGTGTGAATTCATGTGATTTGGTGTATGTGAGTTTTAAAGGGAATCCTTTTACTTGGTGAAATGGGAGGATTGGTGATCTCTGTATATTCAAAAGGCTGGATAGATACATGATGAATCAAACTAGTTTTGGATATTTTGGGATGGTGAAATATGAACATTTGGCAAGAACATGGTCTGATCATGCTCTTATTCTACTTACATGTGGACAGAAGACAAATGTGACTAGGAGACCTTTCAGATTTCTTAAATTTTGGACAATACATACAAAATTTAAGCAGATAGTGAAGGATAACTGGTTTTCAGAAGATGAAGAAGATATGTTTATTAGGATGAAACAAAAGATGAAAAAGACTAAAGTTGCTTTGTCTATCTGGAGTGAAGTTGCTTTTGGAGATATTTTTAAACAATTAGATATCTGGGGGAGGGTGTGAGCTTGTAAGGGTGAAACAGGTGTTATTTTGAAGCAAGCCCTACAACAGACAATAGGAAAATATTACAAAAGCCCAATAGAATTTTAAAAATGTGTACATTTTGAAGAATAATATTTAAAGCAGAAAACATGTATTCAATGGGTTACAAAAGGGGAGAAGAATACAAGGTTCTTTCACAACTTTGTGAGAGGCAGAAGGAAAAGATTAAGTACTAAGAATATTCAAAATATGGAAGAGAACTGGGTAGAAGGTGAAGAGCTAGTAGATGTTGTTACACAAGAGTATTATCTGAAGCAATTCACAGGCATTCAGAATATGGAGGAAGCCTCCCAATTGAGATATATTAAAAAAAATGTTACAAATGAAGAGAATAGAAGATTAAATAATCATCTTTCAATGGAGGAGGTTAACAAAGTAGTGTTTGAATTCAGTGGGAACAGTGCTAGTGGTCTGGATAGGTTTACTGGAAATTTTTCCAACAATTTTGGGACATAGTTAGGGATGATTAGTTTGAGTAATTTTCTTAAGGGTGATGAATGATAGAGTTGGAATTCTTCTTCCCTCACTGATTTCACAAATCAATTTGGATTTGTGAAAGGAAGAAGCATAATTTAAAATGTGTTACTTGCTCAGGAGATCATATCCGATATTAGCAAAAGGGGTAAGCCAACAAATGTGGTGTTAAAGCTGGATATGGCAAAAACATATGACAGGTTAGATTGGAGCTCTCTAACAATGGTGCTTGAAGGAATGAGTTTTGATGCTAATGTTGTTGATAATGTCTGGAGACTAGTTGGTAACAACTGATATTCTGTACTTATCAATGAAAATGCTTATGGATTCTTTCAATCACCAAGGGGAGTGAAGCAAGGAGACCTTTTATCCCCTGCACTATTCATTCTAATTCCTTAAATTCTTTCTAGAAGCTTAAATGCTTTGATTTGTAATGAAATTTACAAGGGTTTTGGATTGCCAAAATAGAGTGATCTTACTAATTATCTTGCATATGCAGATGATTATATAATGTTTACTTCAGCAAATGTCATTTCGTTACATGTATTGATGGAAACTTTGACACATTATGAGAAGCAATCAGGGCAGATGATAAATAAAGAAAAGAGATCATTTTCATATTTCATTATACAACACATGATTTGCTAGCAAATTTAAAAGTGAAAACTGACTTTGCTAGAGGCAAGATTCCACTAATGTATTTAGGATGTCCAACTGATCATGCCAAGAGGAAGAAGGTACACTTTGCAAATTTGATAAAAAAAAAGTGCATAATAAGTTGCAAGCTTGGAAAAGGAAAATGATGTCATTTGGAGGTAAGGTTGTGTAACTCATAATGTGCAAAATAGCATACCTATATATCTCTTGTCTGCTTACAATCCATTGAGGTGTGTTATTCATGATTTACATAGAGTTTTTGTAATTTTTTTTGGAAATTTTAGGAAGGAGGAAAATAACAAGCTTTGTGTTGGATGGTGTGATTTATGTAGACCCAAAGAAGAAGGTGGCGTGAGATTTAGATCTTTCTTTGACATTTCTTAAGATTTATTAGCTAGATGGATTTTTAGAACAAGAAGACTATGTGATCTAATTTTATGAGGAACAAAATTGTAAAAATGTGAGACCTTAAGTGGTTGAGTGGGAAAATGGTTCTTTACCTTGAAAGTATATGTTGGAAGCTAGAGACTTGATAAATCAACAAAATTGGTGGGAACCCAAGTGTACACATTCAAGTATCTGGTATGACAATTGGTCATAATTAAACATACCACATTACATAATTCCTATAGACTCTACTAGAAATGTAGTGTCTTTTAGTGGATAATGAAATTATGACTAGATACAAACAAGTTTTGGAAAATATATCAGTAGACAGATAATATAAGAGGAGTCCAGAATATGAAGAGTAGTGGGATAAACCCTGCTGGATGCTGAAGGTTGTTGGAAATTTCACTGTGGATTCTGCATGGGATTTTATAAGGGAGAAACATGAAGTCTGTACAATATATAAGTCTATCTGATGTGCAAGAATTCCTTTTAAGATATCTTCTTCAATTGGAGACTTTGAAAACAAAGACTTCTTATTGGAGAAGTTCTTGTCAGGAATAAGAAAAGTGATGGGGTAGTGTGTAGTTTTTGTAATGATGGAATTGAGGACACTATTGAATACTTGTTTATTAGATGTTCCTTTTCTAAATCTATATGGAGTTATTTTGCAGGAACATCAGGAGTAGATAGTCCTTTCTTGCAGTTGAAAGATACTATGTATAAATGGTATAATGTAGATGCTTTTTCTAAACTTAAACCTGTAATAATGGTATTTGTTGGCAAGTGTGGAAAAGAAGAAATGCCTTGAAATTTGATGATTCAATGTCTAATCTAAGTATGAAAGGAGGAATAACAAAGAATTTGATTTTATTAGCTAATTAGTTGTACTCATTGACGTATAATTTGCCTTATAATTGGCCTGAATTGGTTAGATATTTGACAGAATATACTCATAGGATTAGATGTAAAGTGGTCTATTAGAAATTATCTTGACAAAATACATTTAAATGCAATACAGATGAAGCTTTAAAAGTAAATTGAGCACCAATCTCTTCGAATTTTATATTAAAGAAGATCAAGGCAACTTTGTGTATGCTAAATGAAATGTGGTTGGGATATCAAACAATCTAATAGCCGAAGCAGTCGCTATCAAACTAGGGTTGAATAATTGTAGGATCCACAATCTATTCCTTTTGATTCTAGAAACTTATTCTTTATCTGCTTTGAAAATGGTAGGAGAGGCTTGGTATATACCTTGGGAGGTTAAAATAGAGGTCAGAATGACACAGGTCTTGAAGGAAGGGCTTGAGGTGGCCATTGTACACAGAAGGCAACAAACTGTCAGATTTTATTATTTCTTTGGTAGGTATAGATTCTATAAGTTATGACGGTTTCCGAAAGTTACCTACTGAAGCTAAGACTTTACTAAACATGGATAAACGAAAACTCCTAATCTAAGTATAAGGAATATTCATACTGCAAAATTTTCCCCAGATAGCTGATACAAATCAGAACATACGATATGCATACAATATTTTCTCAAGTTTAAGTGCATATATTACGCAAACAATACTCTAAAGATTGCAATATAACAAGTTTCATTCACATTTGAAGAGGCAATTATAAATTGCAATGAGAAATATATAGAACATGAAAAATACCTAGGAAGGGTGCAGTAATTTCGTCGCCAGGTTTTCAATAGTGGTATTAGCTCCTTGATGGGCTCAACCTGTCAAATTTAAGTGATGAAGGTTGCAAGATCTTTGAAATAGGTATGTGCTGCACAAAAGGTGTTTAATTTTACAAAGAAAGTGAGGCATTCACCTGCTTCGAAGCTTCGATTCAAGAACCCTAAGTTGGAGAAGTCCGTTATGGGGATGATTTCATGATGTTGGTGAGACTAGGCAACGTTCGAGATGAAATACACCCCCAACTCGATCTATTGCTGGAGTGGTTTCATCTTGCTGGAGAATGCTTGTCTGAATAGGAACGATGATGATGGACGATAAGGGATGATGTTCCTCCGATATGCTTTCCTCTTTCCCAATTTCCCTTTTTGTATCTGTTATTTTTTTTCCTATCGAAGTCTTTATAGGTGTTGGATCGGGTCCTCTTTGGGACTAGTCCTCTGTAATGTGATTCAATAAACTGGGCTTGCGCAACTTTTTATTTTAAAAAAAGATAATATATTCTTTTTGATTAAAAAAATAGACTAGTCCATCCTGTCTAGGCTAGGCCATAGAGACTTTGGAATTCGAACAACTAGGTTGGGTTGACCTATTTTTTGTGGGAAAAAAACATTAAACCCAACCCATTAGTACGTGGATTGCGGGCTATGTCAGGTTATCCCACTTCTTTTAAAAGTCTTTTTTTTTAAAAAAAATCTATAATTATAAAAAAATAGAATAAATATCGGTAAGACAAGACAATATTACATGGTGTTAGGATTATTATTTGTTAACAAATCTACAATTAAAATAATCTTTACAAGGATTATAAAGTTTGACTTTAAGTAAAAATATAACTAGTTAAAAAGAAATATTAACATAATTATTTTCGACTGATCAAATAAAGCACAAAAAATATGGTAAATTCTACCATTAAAAAGTAAAAAATGAACTCTTAAAAAATATTCACGAAGCTTATGGTGTATCCTAACATCAACACATCATTTTTATCAAACATATATGTATCAACTTTTGGCAAGGTTTTCTAAACATCTTTATGCTAGGGAAATATTATAAAAATTTGACAATAATAATAATAATAATAAATAACTTTATTATTTATCAAAAAGTGGTCCTGAAATAAAGTTGAATATTCCTACGAATATATATATATATATATATATATTATCCGTTGATGTATAATTTGCCTCATAATTTGCCTGAATTAGTCAGATATTTGAGAGAATATACTCATAGGATTAGATGTAAGGTGGTCTATTAGAAATTACTTGAACAAAATACATTCAAATGCAATACAGATGGAGATTTAAAAGTAAATCGAGGATCAATCTCTTCAACTTTTTATATTAGAGATGATCAAGGCAACCTTTTGTATGCTAAAGGAAATGTGGTTGGAATATCAAACAATCTAATAGAAGAAGTAGTCACTATCAAACTAGGGCTGAAATATTGTAGGATCCACAATTTATTCCTTTTGATTCTAGAAACCTATTCTTTAGCTGCTTTGAAAATGGTAGAAGGGGCTTGGCATATACCTTGGGAGGTTACAATAGAGGTCAGAATGACACAGGTCTTGAAGGAAGGGCTGGAGGTGGCCATGGTACACCGAAGGCAACAAACCGTCAGATTTTATTGTTTCTTTTGTAGGTATGGATTCTATAAGTTATTATGGTTTCCAAGAGTTACCTACTGAAGCTAAGACATTACTAAACATGGATAAATGAAAACTCCTTATCTAAGTATAAGAAAGATTCATAATGCAAAATTTTCCACAGATAGCCGATACAAATCAGAACATACAATACGCACATAATATTTTCTCAAGTTTAAGTACATACAGTACACAAACAATACTCTAAATATTGTGATATAACAAATTCTAATCACATTTGAATAAACAATGATAAATTGCAATGAGAAAGATACAAAACATGAAAAATACCTTAGAAGGCTGCAATAATTTCATCGCGAGGCTTTCAACAGTGGTATTAGCTCCTTGATAGGATCAACCTATCAAATTTAAGTGATAAAGGTTGCAAGGTCTTTGAAATAGGTATGTGCTGCACAAAAGGTGTTTAATTTTACAAAGAAAGTGAGGCATTCACCTGCTTCGAAACTTCGATTCAAGAACCCTAAGTTGGAGAAATCTCTGATGGGGATGATTTCATGATGTTGGTGAGACTAACCAACGTTCGAGATGAAATACACCCCCAACTCGATCTATTGCTGGAGTGGTTTTATGTCGCCGGAGAATGCTTGTTGGAATAGGTAGGATGATGATGGACGATGAGGGATGATGTTTCTCTGATATGCTTTCCTCTTTCCCCATTTCCTTTTTTGTCTATGTTATCTTGTTTTCTATTGAAATCTTTATAGGTGTTGGATCGGGTCCTCTTTGGGCCTAGTCCTCTGTAATGTGATTCAATAAACTGGGCTTGCCCAACTTTTAAATTAAAACAAAAGATTATGTTCTTTTTTATTAAAAAAATGGACTAGTGTATCCTGTCTAGGCTAGGCCATAGAGACTTTGGAATTCGAACAGCTAGGTTGGGTTGACCCAATATTTTGTGGGACAGAAAACATTCAACCCAACCCCTTAGTACGTGGATTGCGGACTATGTCGGGTTAGCCCACTTCTTTTAAAAGTCTTTTTTTAAAAAAATCTATAATTTAAAAAAATTAGAATAAATATCAGCAAGACAAAACAATATTACATGGTGTTAGGATTATTATTTGTTAACAAATATACAATTAAAATAATATTTGCAAAGCTTATTAAGTTTGACTTTAAGTAAAAATATAACTAGCTAAATAAAATATTAATCTAATTATTTTCAAAGATCAAATAAAACACATAAAATATGATAAATTAAACCATTAAAAAGTAAAAATGAACTCTTAAAAAATATTCATGAAGCTTATGGTGTATCCAACATCAACACATCATTTTTATCAAACATATATGTATCAACTTTTGGCAAGGTTAATAAAACATCTTTATTTTCATCTATGTTTATAGTCAACTTCAATCAATTAAACTTTAAAAACAAGTAAATTTAAGAACTACATGAATAATATTTATGGAAAACTACACAAAATACACACAATTGTGAAACAATTCAAAACAAATTAGATCCAACCCAAACTATTTACCCTTAATGAACTCATGACCCAAGCTATTTACCTGCCTACCCCACTTTCTCTTTCCTTATTTCACACATGATGCCAACATCATGTCACGACCCAAAACGTGTCGTGAGTGGCACCCATATTTACCCTCCTATGTGAGCGAACCAACCAATCCAAACTCCAACATTGAACCATAATGAACAAAATATAATGCGGAAGACTTAAAACTCATTAGCGAAATCAAGTAAATAACTTCTAAAAACTCAAACACCTATTATCATTCCCAAAACCTGGAAGTCATCATCACAAGAACATCTATACTCAACTTACTAAATCTAAGAGTATCTAAGAAGCTAAGATAACTAAATAGCTAGTCCATGCCAGAACTTCAAGGCATAAAGACGTGAAGAAGTAGATCCAGTCCAAGCTAGAAACAATAGCTCACCCTGAAATCTGACGTGATGAAGACTGGCTAGAGTTGCGGTTGAGTTGAAGACGACGGTACGTTTGCTGCACTCCACAATTAACAAAAAGAAAACATCCAAGTAGGGGTCAGTACAAAACACAAGTACTGAGTAGATATCATCGGCCAACTCAAAATAGAAAGCAATATATATCAGATAATGTCATAAAATCAACTACAATACTCAACAGGTAGCAACAACAAGTACAAGGATCATTGATAATAACGCCAAGTACACCCATGAGGACTCAAGCCTCCATACCATACTCATTTTGGAAATAGGTTCATTAAATTTTGAGTATATTAAGATAATTCAAGATTCATTCTCTTTATTCCTCTTGTTTCGGAATGTGACACTCCGATCCCCTAATACTACGTGTCGGTTCGTGACACCCGATCCCCTAATACTACGTGTCGGTTTGTGACACCCGATCCCTTAATACTACGTGTCGGTTCGTGACACCTGATTCATTAACCTCATTCTTTTAGTTCATCAAGCCTTCTTTTATACCAAGGCATCATCATTAACAAAGAGGTTTAAAGATTTAAGATTCAACAGCCTCATCATGCTTATTTTATCACAATTATATAACCACATCATGCAAGCACACAATTAAGCATATAGAAGGGTTTACAATACTACCCAATACATATCATTCGCTATTAAGAGTTTACTATGAAATAGCATAAACCATAACCTACTTCCACCGAAGAATTCGTGATCAAGAATCTACTTTTCAATGCTTTGCTTACTTCTTCGTTCTCTCCTCTTGATCGATCATTTCTCCCTCTCTCTGTTCTTTCTATTTTTCTTATTCAATTTTTTTTCTTTTACCCTAATTAGCATATAATTAAGTATAAAAGATGACAAAAGTAACCCACTAATTAATTCAAGGTTATCTCCTTTAACCCTCAAGTAATTGAATTATTAATATTACCCTCTAACTTTATAATCATAAGCACGAATAGTCCAAAACGCCCCTTAAAACATTTAATAGAAATCCGACCCAGTCAGGGTTATGCAGTCTGTGACGGGCCGTTGTGCCTGCGACGGTCCGTTCTGCTGCTTCCGTCACAAAGTTCAGAGACTAACTTTTCACTAAAGGGCCTGTGACGGTCCGTCCTGCCATGTCGTCGCGAAGTTCAGAGAGTTGTTCTCAGTACCCAATTTTTCAGAATTCTAAGTGTTTTGGAACGAGACACCCTCGACGGTCCGTCGTGCCCATGACGGTCCGTCGTGGGATCCGTCGACTCAGACAGTTATTACCAGAAAATAAACTTTACTGCTCGAAACGACTAAGAGGTCGTTACAATAGATACCAATTTACCCATCGTTCGTCCTCGAACAATCACAAGAAGAAAAACAAGGAGGAAAAGGAGTACCTGAATCAGTAAACAGGTGTGGGTATCTTTCTTGCATATCGGCCTCCTTCTCCCAAGTGGACTCTTCAACTGGTCGATTCTTCCATTGAACTTTGATGGATGCAATCTCCCTTGATCTCAACTTGCGGACTTCTCTATCTAAGATGGCAACAGGCTCCTCCTCATAAGACAAATTCTCATCAAGCAGAACTAAATCCCAACGAATAATGTAGTTTCCATCCACATTTACCCTCCTATGTGAGCGAACCAACAAATCCAAACCCCAACATTGAACCATAATGAACAAAATATAATGCGGAAAACTTAAAACTCATTAGCGAAATCAAGTAAATAACTTCTAAAAACTCAAACACTTATTATAATTCCCAAAACCTGGAAGTCATCATCACAAGAACATCTTCCTCATCGATTTTTGCTTATTTAGCCTCTCCTCGCAACACCTTATCTCAGATCCGGATCAGTTTCTCATCATTAAATTGCTTTTCCTTAATCTTGTTAAGAAAGGAAGATCTTGCCTCCACACAAGCCAAAAATCCTCCCTTCTCATTTACTTCCAGCCTCATAAAGTTATTAGCCAGAGTCTGAACTTCTCTAGCCAATGGGCGTCTAGAAACCTACAAGTGAGCTAGACTTCCCATGCTCCATGCCTTTCTACTTAAAGCATCTGTCACAA